TCCTTCGCTTAAAGAACTGAATAAGGCTCTTTTAAAGGCGTTAATGTCAATTTGACTGGTTGAGTGGAAATAATTCCCGCTATGATTAGAACATTTAAAAGAAAAAATTTTTAGGTCTTCAACCAGCGAACAATTGCTACATTTAAGATAAGCACGATTAGATATTTGAAAATTACCACCGCAACTGGAATGAACTCAATTAATAGCAGTTGTATTATTACAATTATTTTCTAAACAGCGTATTTTTAAAGGGATAAATGCCTCCCTTGAACTTTCTGCCGAAGCCCGATACATCGGTCCGTAGGTTTTGGGACTGCTTATATCATTATAGATTTCTATCTCATTCTCATAACTACTATTTACTTCTTGGTCGGATTGGTAATTCTTTACAAATTCCTCATAAGTAGGTATTTGGCTTTCTAATTCTCTAATTTCCTCAACTTTTTTGTAATTTTCTTTGGTTATTAGGTTATTATTTACCATATTTTTATTATAATTTGGGGAGCACTATGGCTCCCCTTTATTTTTTGTAATCTTTACTCCTGAAACTTGCTGAACTTATTTTTTAGCCTTTTTATTCAACTGCTTTTTTACTACTACCGCACTGGCAATTGCTAACGCACTAATGGCACCAATAATGGCTAAAATGCCACCTTTATTATTATCCTGGTTGGACTTGTTAACTGCTTTGACCGATTCTGGTTCAACTTTTAATAATTGTTGACGATAATTTTGTCCTTGTGAAGTAGTTTGGGTAATTCCCAACGCTTTGTTAATTTGTCTTATTTCCTCGGGGTTAAACTTTCCAATTAAATATATTTTTTGTTGTCAATTATATACCGCTCCATCATAACCAACCTCGGCTGAATTATGAATAAGGGCATTTTGTCTTTTGGTTGTTCTGCCATGACCGTCATATTCAGTAATCACCCCGTCAATTCTTCAATTTTGGCGATTATTCCTAACATCTTGGACTATTTCGGAGTTAGTTAGTTGCTGAGAAGGATAAAAACTGAAACTACCTTGTTTAGGAGCAATTTCTTGGCGAATTTGCTGAAAAACTCCTCAACCTTCTTCTCCTTGCTCGTCACTAATATTAAATCTATTTTCATTTCCTAATTCACCTCATTTTTTACCTTCATAATCTTTCTTTTCTTCTCTTGCCTTATTCATAGGTTCTTGAAGAGCACCAAACAGTCCAATCACACCCTTTGGGTCAAACTTCATATTTTTAATTCTGGCTTCATTTTCCTCAACAATTTTTTCGCCTCTGTCTTCCAACACCTCATTAACCTCAAACAAATAATTTTTTATCTCATCAGGACAATTATTAACATCAATTCCCGTGGCACTAAACCATTTATGAAACTCCTTTTTTATTTCATTCCGAAAGAACTCGGGTTCGCCTTTACATACCCCCCTCATTATTAGTAATTGAGTTAAAAATTGCTCTCTACTATTTTCAAGAGGATAATTATCATCCTCGACTTTTCTTTCATAAAGTTGACTCCTAAAACTAGGATAGTTATTGCCATAGGCTCTTTCAGTAAATTTTTCCAAGGCTTCCAGCATAAAACGAAGGTTGCCAAGTGCTAATTTTAACTCGTGAGCTGTTTTTTCTTTTTGTGCTAATATTTGATTACTATTTATATTTACTTCGTAATTACAATTCTTACAATAATTTCTACCACCTATGTGAAGAAATTCGTTTTGTTGAAATCCACATTTATTACATTTTTTTAGCATATTATTTATTTAAATTTTGTTAGATTTTATTTTAATTTTACTTATCATTTGCCACTTTTGTTGCAATTTTATTTATTCATATCCTAGTCGTAGGATTTTTATTTTCTCAAAGTTTAGACACCATACCTAGGGCATAATTAAATTCACTTCAATCCGCTTCTCTTCATATATCTTCCCCCTTATGTAAATAGCATTTAAAAAGTCATTGTCGTCAATGACGAGGCACATTACATTTTCTACACTTAATATAGGCTTCGGCGGAAATATACATATTATCACCACAGTTGTAATGTTTTCACTGATACTGATTTCCATCACCGCCACATCCTCTTGCTGGACAAGATAAATATAGAGGTATATATCCTCCTTCACCATCACCTAAATAATGAGGACAATCAGGATCATCATATTTGCGACAATCAGAACAAGTAGGTCCATAACCTTTACTACTTCCAACATCACCATCTCTTAAATCATCATAATTCACCCTCTCATTACTTTCATAATTTCTCACAAATTCCTCATAACTAGGAACTTTGTATTCGTCTTTTATTTCATAAACCGTTTCAAACGGTTTTTTTACCTCAATGGGTATTCCGTTATTATTATTTGGCATATTATTTTTACTTTTGTTTAAAAATTATTGTTTTTATTATACCAATTGCTTTTTACCAAATACTCTAATCAGTGGCAATTGGTAAGAAATCCAATTAGAATATTCTTTACCCTCATTTTACTTCCGGGGAAAGTCGCTGTCTGGCTCTTGCCTTTTGGTAAGGGTCTGAGAGTGCGAAAGGGAGAAGGTGATTTGCTAAATCACTAACTTATTATGGCTTTTTGTCTGCTATTTTTCCTAATTCTTTGTGCCCTAACGGCACGGGAGCATTTGATATTTTATGAATAGTTTGTTTGCCATGATGTTTTTGTTTCATATACTTTGCTGCTTTATTATAGTATTTTATCAAAGTTTTATATAATTTCTTTTTCAAAAGAAGCATTTTTATACTTTTTCTGCCATACAATACAACACGGACTCAATAACTATCCTAAGCACCGATAATAATAACTCCCCAAAGCCCGTTCCATTATTTCTGTCCTTGAACTCAACGGCAACGAATTATAAAAAGTCATTAGTTCTTCCGTCAAACGAAAAGACACTTCCTTTCTGGGGTTATTCGGTTCCCGTTGGTAAGTCAAAGCAATTCCACACTGATAAGCATGAAGAGCCGAACGAAAAAAATAACTGAGATTAGGATATTGGTAATTACCGGCTAAATGCTGACTAGCGAGGGTATTTTTTACCTTAGCAATTAAAAAAGTATCACAGCGAAAAGATATTTTGGCTTGAATTCCCGTAAATTTAACTTTAAAAAGTCCCTGATTAGTCAGTGGTAAATTAGGATTTTTTTTGGGACTTCTAGTGGGTTTTCTCATATTTGATTAATATTTCCTTAAACAATTCTTTAATTTCACTCGGTAAACCTTTCCGGGAAAAGAAGTTATTTTTACTGCCATTCAACAGAGTTCCATAGAGAGCAGGACGATTAGTTAAAGGATTAGTAATTCACCCGTGCTTTTCTTCCGCAATAACTTCTTTTAATTCGGTTAAGCCTTGCCGTTGTTCTTTGGTATTTTGTCAGTGATTAGGAATAAAAGTTATCTTGGCTTGTCAGTCCGGTTTTAAACTGGTAAATCAGGTAATAGTAGTTTGTAAGTCGGCATAGTGCGGACGAAAAGGCACTAATATTAGGTCGGCCTGGGCTAATCAGGAGAGAGCCGAACCGGAACTGCCAGCCGTGTCAATGATTTGGTAAGTAGCCGGGTTGGTGGAGACTTGCCGACCTTCCAATTTACAGTTATTCGCTCAGGTTTGGGAGGTTTGAATGGGGTCAGTGTCGGTTAATTGGACTTTTTTCTTTAAATGGTTTAGATATTCCACCAATAAGCAGGCAATAGTAGACTTTCCCGTGCCGCCTTTTTCGTTGGTAATAGCGATTTTTATCATATATTATATTTTGTCCTGTATTGTATCCCTCTTTATTGTGTTTTTATTTTAGCAGAGACGACTGAGAAATGGATGTTTGTAGCCTTGAATTAAATGGATATTTATTGTGTTTCCAATCTCTAAATCCGCAAACTCCCTTTCTCGCTGATAACTATTCACTAAAAAATAGCCCGTTGTCTTGGTTTTTCAATCTAAGTAAAAGACTTTTCAAATATCTTCTAAACAAGTTTTCTGCTTCCCTGATATTTTAATTTCTCGCCTCAATCTTTTAACACTTTGCTCTGGGTTTTTGGTTAAATGCTCCTTGATTATCGGCGGGCTTTTTCTAGACTTCTGAACCAATTCACCAGACTTCTCTAAACTCAAATCAACCCTATTCAACACCTCCTCCACTCTTTCCTCAACCTTTCCACTCAATAATTTTTTGTTAAATATTCCCGCTACTCCATACTTCTCCACCAATTTCTTCCCTCAATCAGTAATAACCAACTGTCTATTTTTATCACCCCCCACCGGTAAAGCCACTAAATCACCATCACTTAATAAATCACCAATTTTCTCCCCTGTCTCTTGGTGATAAATTTTCGCCCCTTTCATGCTTCCAACCAACCAATAAGGGATAGGCAATAAACAATTTCCCGGTGTTCCTGTGGTTCAATAAAAAGGAATTTGGTGTTTATCAATCAATTTTTTTCATTCTTTCCCTCCAACCACCAAGGCTTTTCTCAACCATTCTTGCTTAATTCTATAATTGCCCTGCTCGTCTTTCTTGTTCGGATCCAAATCCAACAACGGAACATCAACTTTACCCAACACTATCTCATGAGTAAAAGCCAAGGCGGCTAAACTTCTATTTTTAGGTTCTCAGTAATTAGGAGAATTCCAACCAACTCCTGCCCCCGTCGGCCTAGGTCTTCCGTTTTCCCGATAACCTGCTACCAACTTAGCCGGGTTATCCCACTTACTCAATATTTCAGTTTTCAATTTAATTTCTTGCCACTTCTTTTTGAATTGGTAAGGTCGTTTGGCAAGTAAGTCATCTAGTTCTCCTTTTTCCCTCCAAACCAAATGTGAGAATAAGAAGTCTTTTTGTCTTTCCAAATAATAAGCCTCGGTGGGCCTGTTCTTTAAAAAAAACAAGTTCTTATTATCTATATATAGGGATAGGTAAGGGGATCCACGTCCACCACTTTTACACCCACTATTTAGGTCTCCACGTCCACCACTTAAAGTCTGCTTAATTATCTCCTCTAACGGAGTTAAAAGATAGTTTTCTTGTTTAAGAAAGTTAATTCAATATCTAGTTTTGCGAGATAATTTATGACGGTCTTTTTTTCTGTTTTTTGGGTGAAAAAAAGCAGGATAATTCTCCTTGGGTTTTTCGTATTTACTAGATTTTGATGATATTAAGCACTCAGTAAAATTAACTGATGCTTGAACTGCGGAGTTCAGCATGTTTGATTATTAATTTAGCCCTAGCTAGTCCAGTGAACTCCGCAGAACACACAACTAACTAAAAGCCCTATGACTAAAAACCCTAGGGCTAAATTGACAATCTATATTTATTTTTTAAACTTTGGGGATAACAATTCCGCACTCACAAATGATTATCGGTGTCATCCTTGAACCAGAACACTATAAGATATTTTTTATTATTATAAGGAATTCTTTCCCATACATAAATATCTCTATTACCATGCCTTTTCTTTGGCTTCATAATAGGAATTTCATTCAATTTATTCATCAACTTTCTAATTAGTTCGTTAGAAATTCCCTGCTTATCATGACCGCTTTTTATGTAGTGGTCGGTGATGGTTAATTGCTTTATTTCTCAACGACTACTTAATATAATTTTACAAGGATAGGTTCAAGTCTTTTCTTTTTTTTCTGCCATTTGCTAATTGAGAAACATTTCTTTCCTGGGCTTTGGTTATTTTTACTTCCAAAAGTTCAAATAATTCATTAGCATAAGTAATTAGTCTGTCAAGAGTAAAATAATCAATTCGGCAAAAAAGAATATCCTCGGTTTCTCCGGTAGTTAAATTAATTCTTTGGGCTATTTCTTTATCAGTTAATTTATGTTTTTGCTGATAAGCGAGGATTTTTTGACAAATATCATACTTACTTTTTTCCAAAGTGGTGGGGTTTTCTGGTAAAGACCAAAAGCCTTCTCCCGCATAATTAGGGTTTTCTAGTTCTTGGAGAGTTTGCTCGAATTTTTGGTCTGAATTAGTTTGGTTTTTCTCCTGATAATTCTTATTCTTCCGCATTCCTTTCATAATAACTAATTTTAGGCTTAAACTCGCTTAATATCTGCTTCTGCTAAACATACCCCCTCCTCAAATACTCCCTCCACTTCTTCCTCTGCCCCTCCTCCATTTCCTCATAATACTCCTTACCAATACACTCTAAACAGAGTATTTTCCACTCACTCTCCAACCCTCAAAACCTCGGGTCATTCCTATTTTTAATCACCCTTTTTTTACTGGCGGCTTTAATGCTTCTTTCGCACCTTTCACACCAAGTCCAACTATCACTTTCTACCCTAATTTTAGGACTACTTTCACACCTACAATCTTTTAACTTCTCCTCATTCTTTTTCAACAATTCACTCGTCAATAAATAATTCTCTCGGGCCTCTGTTTCCAAACAAGCACAATTACTTAAATGCTCCTTATCTTTCAGCCACTTATCCGCACAACTTTTATTCACGGGCAATCGCAGAAAATTTTCCAACCATTCACTAAGATTAATGCCCCAATGCTTCCAATATCATTCACTTTTCTCTCAAAAACTAATCGGGCTACTAGTCCAACCTACCTGCCGAGCCAAGCATGGCTGACAAACCAACCTAGTCTCCTCCAACAAACTCCAAGCATCCACTCCCCAACTCCCACACTCCAAACAACCCGAATAACTTTTTAACAATTCTAATTGCCGCAATCTTTTCTCCTGCTCTATTTGCTTCTGAGCCAATACTTCCTCAAAACTATTATAACCTGTTGCTCTTTCTTGCTCGCTTTGAAAATAACACCAGCAACAATAACTTTCTCACCTACTATCTCACTCGGTCAAAAGTCCACACGGCTTTCTCTGCCTACATCCAGCACAATAATAACTGTTAAATTGGTGCTTTTGTTGGTTGGTTATTTCTCGGTTTCACTCCATAACGTTTTACATTTCCTCTTTAAAAAAAAGTAGCAAAAAAAAATCTATTTCACCAGGGACTTTTCCGGTTCCCTTTCAGGCCTTTTTCTTATCTTTTAGATTACCCTTTTTTGCTGAACTTCTTATTTAAGTTTGAATTATTTTTTTTACCTTTGCTAATGTTTATACTTGAAAATGATTTTGAAGCACTTATATAAGTAATTTTAGAGGTTTTACCACCGCCTATTGTGGTAATGAGGGGATAACCCCCTTTGGGGGTTTTGCGAGCAGAGCGAGCATGGTGAGCCGTAGGCGAGCCAATTTTTTTTGGTTCTTTTTTTACTTAAATAATTAAGCAATTATCGTGAATTATTATTTAAATACTGAATTAATTCCATAGTTATTTCCTCATTCATTTTTCCTTCGCTTAAAGAACTGAATAAGGCTCTTTTAAAGGCGTTAATGTCAATTTGACTGGTTGAGTGGAAATAATTCC